TCAGAGTGTACAGAAGCATAAAGTACTGTGCCTACATGAAAATCATCATTTCACCAGACCAACCTTCCTTTCAGAAACAGTACTACTAAGGCACAATACATTTAATTTAATTCTCCACTGAAAGGCTGGAGATGATACCTAAGAAGTCCAATACTGTTGGATACTAACATCTGTTGTCTGCCTTTTAAGCAGATGGTAGAGATCTCATTGATTTACCATGTTCTCCCCCATTACTTCTGCCCTGTATCTGAGGGAAATTGTATTAATACAGATAAAAAGAGATGCCACAAAGATGGTTCAAGCAAGAAACTGAGGTTATTTAAGTGATGTTGGTGAAGAGTCTTTATGAGGCTGAGAAAAAAATCTTCTTCAATGTTTTCCACTATTTAACGTGCCAGAGCAAATAAAAAATGGATGATTGGTTTTTCTCTCATGAAAGAGTAAATATACAGGAAATGCAAACTAGCTTCAAAAATCCACAGCATCATAAAATACATACTTGAACTCCAATACCTGAAAAATGCAACACATCAAAAGTCCTGCCCACTGATCAGCTATCAAGTCACACTTTTGTGAACAAGAATTTTCATGTTTGCTATTACCTATTTCCTAGAAAATTACACTGAAGGAAATAATATCCATTTGTCTGTATCAACAAAAAAAAGGCAAGACAATTTAAGTGTAAATCCCTGGAAAGAATTCTTTAGCTCTTCTCAAAGGAAGAGCTGAATTCCTCCATCCATTTTCATAACAGAAAAACACAATATTTAATTTCAAGAAATAATTATAGGACATTCCCATGAAAGCTTGATCAAAACTTATAAAGCATAACAGAGGCACAATCATTTCCTAAGAAAGCAAGCAGAGAGCACACCAGCCCTGCTTGGGAAGCCGAGCTTCTCAAGTTGGATGTTTGTGTGTGGGGCACGGAGCTGCCTCTCTTGGGCTGGTGAAAGCTTCCACGACACTTGGCACCAAACTGGAGGCCATGGCTGTACTTGGCAGAGCAGAGAATGCAAGTGGCTGCTGCACTGGAATGGATGCTTTGCCTGGATCCCGTCTGCACACACACACACTCTCCAAAAAACCCCTCAATCCCCCAACTCTTGGTTCTGTGGTATTTCTGAATTCACTGATAAATGCAGATGATTTCACATGACTCTGAAAGACACATGACAGGCTTAATATTCTCTGCTAGCAAGATAGGAAAGAAAGCATCACTACAACAGGGCTGAAATTGAAATTCAAAGGAAGGAAGGCTGCAGGGGCTGGTTTCTTACAAGGCTTGGTGGGTTTTGCCCTTCTCACTGCAGGTACACGTGTCAGTAGGGAAACAGCTCTATAATACCAAAATACAGCAGTCAGTTCCAGATGTCACATTGGCATTGAAGAAACAGATGAATTATGCTGGACAAGCCAAATACAAAATGTTCAAGACAGCTGTCAGATCAGTATTTCAATGGTCTGTAAACATGTGTATAAATATATTCCCACTGATCAGCTCAGCATCTTCCTTACTCCACTACCTCTCTCCCTGTTGCCTGAACTGCCACAGTGACTTATTTACCAAACCAGCATAGCCAAAAAATCACCTTCTGTATTTACCAGGGTGGAATCCTCTGAACCCCTCAGGGAAAGCCCCAGGGCCTCACCCTGGAAGGACACACCAAGGAGTCCCCACCTAGGCTGAAAGAGAAGCTCACCCAAGCAGCTTTTCCACAGGAGATGCTCACTGGGAATTGGGTAGCAGCACCCACCACCTAAACACCACGCTGCTACACACTGGTTTACCACAGAGCAGGCAGTATTAAAAGCTACTAGCAGCATATTGAGTTCTAAGCAGCAAGAAAAGATGGCATTCAAAATCACAGCTGAATCCTTCACAACTGTGCCAAGTGTTACACACTTTTTATTAGTTACAGAGAATTGCTTCTCACCTCACTTTATAACCAGATGGTTTCTATCTATCTCTCAATAATTCAGAGAAAAACAGAGCTCACCAAAATACTGAGATCCAAGGTTCTGCTTATGCCAGTGCTTACACCTCTTCTTTAAAATATCTGGTAAAATTTTCCATGGGATCAAATGACTTCTAAGAATTTTTTATCACCATCTGAAGATCAAGCTAAACCATGAACATTTGTGTTTTTTTCTTGCATTTTCCTTCCTTTCATGATGTTCCAGTAATTACCCTGTACCACTCTGGTACCTAGCAGCAAGCTCCAGTGAGAGCTCCCTTTCAAAGGAAGTGAGCCTAAAATTCACTTTTTCAGATACAGCTCTTCTAAAATATCCCAAACTCCCTGCTCCTTACAACTCTCCAGGGATCTTTATGCCAATAAAAAGGCTCCAGGCAGAGCCCTATGACACACAATCTTAGCTGTTGCCTTAAGACCACTCACCTCTGATCTCCACTTGGACACAACTGTTCCAGTTTTAGGCTCAAGGACATTCTTCTCAAAAGCAGCAGCTCAGGATTTGAAAGCTGATCAGACCATAAAAATGTAAAAACCTATGAAGAATTTGGATAGAGAAACCAGAATCTCTGGTTTCTGGCTATTCTCTGGTTTCCCACAGGACAGTTCTCCCTCTCTGTGTTAACAGGTTTACCATTATTACCAGGTATTCTTAGAGCAACCAGTCTTCCTCAAATACACCACTGAAGTGAAGCACAGGAGTAACAAACCCAAAATGGGTATTAGCAAAACAGCTCCACAGATTTATAGCCTTGCTTTTAAAAACAAAAGCTTCTTAGCTTCTTTTGGTTTTCCCTTCCCTTTCTTTCCCATGCACTCAGCTGAAGTCAAGGTTCTGCTGACACACCAGGACAGGAACATGGATTCCCAATACAAGTGACACTGGAGATCTTACTTACCTGACAACACCCAATTCTCCCAGCCAAAAGTGAGTTATGGGAACAGAAATAATCCTTCACCAAATCATATGCAACCAGCTGTTCATTTTTTTATTATTATTACTGATTGAACACTAAATTAATTTCTCATAACACATTCATAACATTCCAGGACCATTATGTGTTTTGCATTGGCTCCAATATAAACGCCCAGCTTATTTCATTTGTTGAACAGTCAAAATATTGGCTAATAATTTCACTTGACAAAACAAAAAAAGGTTTGTGGATGTGACAGTCAGGTCAGAGACCAAGAAAACCAGATAAGTTTTCCCAGAATTGGCTTATGAGACTTTAGGGAGTCGAAGATGAACAATGATCACTTGTTATTATAAACAACCTGCAAGTGTTGTTTTTCTACTCTGTGTTTTCCTGCTTTTCTCAAAGATTGTTTATAGGAAAGGGGTTTTCTGCAAACTCCCAAGTGTTTTCTGTAATTGCTAGGGGGTTTTTGGTTGGTACTTTTTGGGGCATTTGGGGTCAGGAGGCTCTTTTATTTCTACTTTATCAGATTTCAATCCATACCATGCTTTCCTTTAATAAATATTTTGTAAAGCACATAAAATACCTTTCCTTTCACTCTGAAGATTTAAGAGCATTGGGGAGTTCTGCATGTGAATTTCCCCACTCTGAACTCTAACTGATATGCCTCACAGGGAAATTAAGACATAATTATTTTCCCTATGGAAAGTTTCTAAATGATATGGCATAATCTGGTGTACTGAAAAAAATGCAGGAGCCTTAATCTGCTATTTCTTACCTAGGTAAAAAGCAAATTGCTTTCACAGGGCATGGTCCTTATCTAAGAAAGCAGCAAATCCTGCACAATGAACATGCCATTAGCTGTAATATAATCTTCTGTATATTCCACATTCTCTTTTCAGTCAGATTTATAATCATCAACTAATTCACCCCAGTTTACCTTGAGGTTAAACAAAAGAAAAGAAAGAAACCCAAGAAACTTTCATTTTAGCACATGAAATTAAAAGCCCAGAAACTTAAATGAAGAAAAATCAATATTTTAGTCAAAATTAGATTTTAAGAGTTTCTGGTATCAGACATGGAGTTTCAATTTCAATTAAAAAGCTGTATTGGGATGCATAATAATCCATTATAAAAGTGCACTTGACCTCTGGAGAAACAAAGAAGCTGGAAGAAGCCTTCTTACAAATCCAGGAACAAATTAAATCACATACCAGTGAGATCTGAAACACAGAACTCTTCAAGTTTTAAAAACAGACATTGAAACTGAATTATTCAAGAGAAAACACTGGTTTGTGACATTTTCAGAACATCATACTTCCTTGACAGAAATTTTTCATTTCTCCAAGACCTGCATTTATTCAACAGGCATAAAATGTACTTCTCAAGCTTGCTGTTGAACATATTAATATTTGCTCTTCAACTTTTATTTCAACTACATTACCACAAAAGGGTAAGAATACTTATGCCACTATGTAAACTACAGTGTTCTTCAAAGAACTAATGATCTTGAAATTAACACAGATCAGATTCACAGGAATCAGTGAAATCTTTGCTCTAAAAGATCTACGCTGAAATTTTTATATCTCTGTAACTCTGAACACGACAAAGTGAACACATTTTTTGGTACTTAATATCTTAGAAAAAGTGTATCTGTAGCTGTGTTTTTTTCCCATTCACTTCCTTAAGATGGAAGTTCAAGTTTTTAAATTGGTGATAATCAGAAGAATTCATACTTTACTGCTGCACAAAAACCAAAACAAGCGGTGAGTCTTTCAAGTTGAAGGTGAAAATAAGTACTATTTCAGAGTAAATTATGCCAAATTTTTCATGTTACTCATGAAATTGCTCATTCAATCAGGTGTTTCAGAAACAGAGCAGCATATTTTTGCAGTTGCAGTTTTTAAGAACCCCCAGCCCATGCAGACTATTAACCATTTCTATGTTAACCACAGATTGCCTGAGTGTTTGCATTTATCATTTGGTCTCCATTTGCTGCGCTGAGCTGTGTAAGTGGAATGTGACAAAAGGAACACAAGGAAACATCTGCACTGTGTGACAGCACCCTAGTGTTTGTGACAGTGGGAACGAAGGGAACACCTCCTACCTGTGGGCACAGAGTCTCAATGTGGTTTGCTGCCATTTGGACAATTTTCGTTCCATCTTCATTTGTTGACAATGAACAAGCAAGATTGGCAACCTGAAATAAAATAAATAGACTTCAATTAGCAATCAGCCTTGTGAGCAAGTATTCCTGCTCACACTTCAAGCCTGCCATAAAACATCTCTGCTAGAAAGCCTTCATTTGGGGGGAGAAATATTTTGTCAAAGAATGTTTTTGAACAGGGAAACACTGCAGGAGGGAAGAAGAGCTGAGGAAAGAGGTGGCAGTGATGAGAAATCTTAGCACCTCATCCCAATTTAGGCTCAGCAGGTAACAGCTGCAGAGTAGTGTTTGGAAAATAGGAGGAAATTTCAAAGTAAGAGCCTAAGGTTTCAGCAGATTGCCTGTGATCTTGCCCCCTAATTTTTCAGAGCCCTTCAAACCATAACCAGCTTTTACACAGTCCTTTAAACTTACTTTTAAGACCTTAAAACTCAAATAAAATTTATCTTGTTGTAATTAAACACAAAATAATTTCTGCCCTGAGCTATCAACAAATTATTCTTTTAGTGGTATGGTTTTCAACTGGAATGATCATATCATACAGCATATACAGTGCAACCAACAGTGACAAGGTATATGGAAACTTGAAATCTGTGAAAGAACAAATCTATCTCCTATTATAACATACACCATGGAGATACAGCTTCCTTTGAAGTGAAAATCTCTTCCACAATGCTCCACAAGTTTAAATGGATGAAGGAGAAAGTATGTTATAATGATAATGCAGACCAAACAGTGCCTGACAGCCAGAGCCCTGCAGTGCTGCAAATATCAACACAGCCACAGTCATTGTGGAGTCACCCAAAACCCATACAACAACTTCTACAGTTCAGCTGCCATGAAATAAAAACAAATCTTTCTTTATCAACATTTTGGGACACCATCACTACTAGTTCAAGAATAATCTACCACACCAAAGGCTTTTATTATTCTTGCTTAATTGATAGAAGTATTTAAAAGACATTAGTCAGTGCATAGACAAATAAATTACTTTTCCTATTGAAAATTCAGAAGAGATTAAGAATCACTTTCTGAAGGGAATGAGATTTGGAATGCAGGGCCTCCCACGTACACCTGTGCCTACACGAAAATACTTTGTACAACTTTCCCTAGTATTCCAAGAAAATTCACTAGTTCCCTACCCATGTGATGTATTACCTTTTCCACATTAAAAAAGTGGTTAAGACTGAAGAAATCCAGTTTTCATCAATGCACTAACACTGTATTCTCTTTTATTTGGAGTAAACTGCCATAGGTTGGTTGTTTATGCAGTATCTGAAAAAATGGGTTTGATTCTATGCTTTCCCTCCTGACTCTTCAACTTAAACTACCCACAGATGACTTTGTACCATCACAATCCAGCCCTAAAAGATGCAATTCCCTCCCCTCCAAAAAAATAAATAAAATTAGTTGTTTTTCTTTGGAGTGCACGTCAGAAGTTTGCATTACTGGTCCCAACAATTAATTCATACTGGCTTCAGTATTTTAATGCCTTTGCCTCAGTCTCTGAGGTGCTTGTGTATCCCTAACTTCAATCTGTGTTCACTCACACTTTGTTCCTACACCACTAAGTAAAATAAAGCACTCTAAAGGACTCAGTGCAAACATCATTGATTTAAAGAACTCTTCTATGTCTAAAGCAGCAACATTTCAAGGGTAAAATAAAAAGGCAATGCCAGCCATTCCACCAGGACAAAAACTCTCAGCAGCTTTTTTTTTTTCTTTACCATAAGGTAACCAGGCTTTTCAAATTCATTTGGCAGTTTCAAGAAAAACTTGACTTTCATTTCTTGGAATCCAGAACAAACATGTGCAATATGGAGCTCCTGTTTATCAGTGATGAACTGCTCTGAGCAGTTTTGTCCCTGTCATGATGAGCAAGGCAGATACAGACAGTTCACAGCAACTTTTTATCCTGATTCCTAGTTACACTGGCTCCAGCATTTCAGTACAAATACAGTCCTTGATGTAAATCATGTCACAGTCACAGAATAACAAATTAGGGTGAAACAGGTTCCCAGAGATCATGTACTCCAAGCCCTGTTCAAAACATGAGAATGAACTTGAAACCATCTGGTGCCAGTGGCTCAGTGCAACACACCAGCACTGGGGACAAGTTCTGTGTTACCAATCATGTGGGAGATTAGAAGGGTTGAAAATGTGGCTCTTCTCTGGCAAAGCATGCTCAGGTTGGGAAGGAGCTCTTACTGCACAAGTATTCTTTTTTATTTGAAGTCAACAGCAATAAGAGTTTTTTGAATATAAAGAGGAACAACTTTCTGATCCTTCAGCCCTCAGCATTCCTTGCTCATGGCCCATTCCAGAACAGTATTCTCAAAGCACAAGCAGCAAACCGAGGGCAGGGCATAAGCACTAAGAACTTGCACTAGGCCATTTTACAACAGCAAACAGAGGTCTGTAATAATTACATAAGGTGTCTTAAAAATATCTATGAAGTTAAACAAAGTAGCATTGGCTACTTTGGAATAAACACATGCTGTATTTTGGATGAGTATTTGGAGTTCATACTACAGTGCATTGCCATCAGCAAATTTAGACCTTTGCCTTTCATTTTGAGCAATGTTGATAAGGCTTCTCTTTCCATGAGAAAATGGGTAGAATTTTCTTCTCCTGGCACTGAAGCAGCACTTGTCCGCATGTGCCTTATGCATAAGTAAAAGGATTTCAGTCAGTCTCAGCAGCAGGTGGTGAGGCTCACAGCTCTTCCACCCAAAGACAATTCAGACCCCTGAGGTCACTAACATGGTCTCAGCCATCAGCACATTCACTGTTCCACCCAAAGACAATTCAGACCCCTGAGGTCACTAACATGGTCTCAGCCATCAGCACATTCACTGTTGGCACTTCCCTCAGCAGCTCCTGAAGAGATCTTCTTAACACAAATCCAAACCACAGTGATTCAACTAAACCACATGGAAGCAGGAAAACACCTGTGTGTAATTTTTCCAAGCAGGAGCAAGGGATGTGTGAACCTGCAGTCTCTTTTGAGGCTGTAATGTTGCTAATAAGGAGGGCAAGCTGCTCAGCAATAGTAAATGTCTGGAGTCTATAAGAAAAAATCAAGCCCTAGCTCGGATAAGACTTTACTGTCATCTATCACACACATCTCAAAAGGTTTTTGCAATCTGAGAAATCTTCATTACACCACAGTCTCTCCCCTAAGCAGTGTAAACTACACAAATACATCACATTTCTTTTGTATTCTCTGGAAGAAACCAGCTGTCCCTCGGGGACTGCAAACCCAAGTACACTGCAACTTCAAAAACAAAACTGCAAAATGAAAATCCAAGATTGCTCTCAGTTAGAAAATAATTGTCCTTCTGAAGAGCAAAGTTTGTCAGGACAAATAAAAAGCTTTCTTGTAGGCTGGTCTGATTGAAATCACAACTCTACCAAAGGAAAAAAAATTATCATTTTCTCCAGACATTTTAAAGACTCTAAGAACGCAGTTATAGAGCTTTTCCTTGAAAACATAACAAACAGAGAACAAACCATCCTTGATGAGGTTTAGCAACATCAATTAATACACTAATTAAGGTGCAGTGGGAAAATAAGACTTTGAACTGAGCATGTAAGTGCAGCACTGGCAGTAGATAAAATATTTCCTTAGCTGGATGGATTTTTAGATTCTGAAGGCACCAAAGAGTGCATTTTTTGATGCCCATTATCTCTACACAGAAGATATGCCAATGGACATTTCTTTTATTCCTGCAGTTATTAAACAACTTCTTAATTGGTACTTTTACTATTGGGTGAGGGTTTACCTTTCTTTATTGGGGAGGGGGTTCCTCTCTTTACAATATCATAACCCAACAACTTTTCAGGCTAGAAATTGCTGAACAGTAAGATTTGGGTATTGCAGATTGACTCTGTTAAAAATAATTCAACAAATACGTTGCTCTCCTTGATTTATACATTACATGGGGCTGGTGCATCGAGGAGAGAGCACAACTGGAAATGCGTGTCCAGATTTCTTCAGTTCCTACTCTTTACCAAACGGAAAGGCAAAGAAAGATGCACTTAAAGGCCATGAGAGATACATGAGAAATGAACAAGTTCATCTGTTGTCCAAAATTCCTTGGGGTGGAAGACTTTGTCCCTTGCCTATGCTCACACAAGTGCATGCACACTGTGGATCCCCCAGTGTTCTCTCTCTAAGCAGAGGATGAAGTCTTTAGGTGAAGATGAAGGCTCAAGCTTCATCCAACCTCAGATTTGCACTGGGTGTTAATGCAAAACAGAAAACACATTTAGGCAAAACACTCTGGAGAGTCACTAAGCACCTCCAGTGTGAATTAAGGTGAATTATCAGAATTACCAGGTGTGATAATTCTTAACAGCCAACTACCTGGAGCTGTCTATTGCTGAAAGAAACAGAGATAGCCTAACACCCTTTCTGTGGACAAAAAATCCCTTAAGAGCCTCAGGGCAAGTGGAAGCTCACTGCAAAGTAAGATTGCCTCTTCCCTGTGAGGGCTCTTATGTTCATTCTGCTGGAAAGGGACAGAAATCCTTGGGAGAGATGTTCCAGCCATGATCTAAGGATGCAATAAGTGGTTCAGCAATGAGTCCTGGTGCAGACTTAACTCCAGGCTGAGAACAAAATGGAAAGTCAAATGCAAAAGTGAGATTTTAAGCAGCAGAGGAGTAAATAATCACTGCACTGCCTCACCACCTGTTCCATTTGCAGTTGGGAACAGCTTTGCTGATATATTGTCCACACTGCACAGCAAGAATTAGATGTACCCCCAAGGATTTTTTTCAGTCAAATTCACTCCATTAACTCCCAAAAATAAGTATTTGCTCAGGAACAGATTGTCTGCTAACTAGCTAAATTCTTCTTCTATAAATTGTACAAAATGAAGCAGCATGTTCTCTAGATGTAATCCCTTCTGCTCTACCAGTAGAAGCTCAGATTCTTTTCATTATTTTACCCGAAGTCCCAAAGCACTTTTACTGTAAATCACTGGGGATAACTAAGTCATTAATTCCATAAAAGTTTGTTTCCTCTT